CACGACAATTTTCAAATATTTCGTTAGATCCGTAAAAATGAACTCAAATATTTGGTATGATTTCGAAAGTGAATGTTATGTTAGTTTTCCCAAATAAAAATTAAAAAAATAAAATATTGACTGTTTTTAAATGTTTGCTATGAATGTCATTTTCAGAGCGTAAAGTTTGACAGATACCATTGCTGATGTTAGGGTGTGTTCAATATCGGTATTGAACAATGAAATGTACTAAACACGTGATTGTGAAATTATGAGTTGTGTGAAAAAATTCACTTTCTATCGAAAATGTGGGAATTAATGTCCACAAAGAGACAAAAGAATGATTTGCCATTTATTATTTTTTACTAGTGTTTTCAAAACAAAGTTGCATTACTTGAAATTGGTCGTGCCATGTAAACTCGATGATGACAATTTTCTCACTCTTATGTTTTAGGCATTTTGCATACAAAATAACTCGACTGTTGAAATAACTCTGATTTCTTTTCTGAATTGAGTTTATGAATGAAAAAGTGATTTTGAATAAAATTGTATAAACAATAAATAAAATCTTCATCAGAACCATGTGATAAGATATTTGTATCACCAACAACAGATGGCGACATTGAAAACATTCAATTTAGTACATCTGTCAAAAAGCACGATTCTTCGCTACAATAGGAATGATGCTCTTTGTGCGCTGGATTTCTATTGCATCTGTCTAGTGAATTATGTTTTCTTGTTGCTAATTCTTCATTTCTTTTGTTTCTGCGGTGTTGTTTGGCTATTTTTAAATGAAGAGAGAAGAAAAAAACCCAACAGAAAAGAGTCATTATGACCATGATTTTTATGTGAATTGCTGCTGCTGCTGCTGCTGCTGCTTTTGCTCTTGATGTCCAAATGCTTGTGAGTGTGTGCTCGCTTGCGTGCTACTTTTCAAAACAAACCGAATTTAATTGCGATTCCTTTGGTCACTAGACCCGCACCGGCGACAGAACTGTGGTCATGCTCCTTTCGATAACACGATTTTATTATTATTATTCAGAGGGTTTTTTTGTCTCGAAATTTATGCATATTTTGTGTCGTGTCAAAATTCCCAGCTCGTCTTGTTCGTGTCATTGCGTTTGTTTGTAATTTTTTTTAAAGTTTTTTTTTCAGGTTTAATGGACTTTTTCTCCCTTTTCCTCTCGTTGGCTATCTTTTGCTATCTTTTGCTCTCTTTTCCACTCTTTTCATTTCTTTAGCTCATTTTACTTTCTTCTCCTAGTCTTTCCTATGACTTCAAATGGTTCTTTCTACTCTTGGTCCTTACTTCTAATTGCTTCCCTCCTTTATTCTTGTGCTAGAGAAACTTCATGTCTTTCCTTCGAGAAAAGTCACAAGTTTTATCTTTTTTCCCTTCTTTATCTCAATCTGAACTCTAAATCTTGAAGGGATTCTCTTTCTCTTAATCTATTTCTTTGTTCCTCTCTCTTTCTCACTCCCCTATGCATTCTATAACTTTCGTTCTTATCCCCTATTCATTCTTTCCTCTTGTCTCTTTCTCTCCTTCATCCTCGTGCTTTTATTCATTTACTAAGGGAACTTTACATGCTCATTTCCATGTTCGTGCCAATTAGTGGCACCGGTTCCACTTGGCTACCGCGTAAACCAAATGATTTCGTCCACTACTTTGCTTATCCAATATCATCAAGCATTTGTGTATATGTGACTGTCGTTAGTGTTGTCGTCAAAAAGTCGTCACCAAAATGAAAAATTGCAAATCACCGAAATATAAAAGGTGGCCTTAAAGTCTTCAAAAAGTCTCTCCCCGCCCCACAGCAAAAAAAAACAACACCGATAATTATATCTAAAATTTTGCTATTATCCGACAAGAAACAATAAACCGAAAATAGCCAATTTATATGAATAAAAGCTACACGTTCCAAAAAAAAAATTAGACGGAAAAAAGGTAGTGCTCGACGAGCATTGCTCGCAAACAAACAAAATGCCAATTCATTGTGGACACGAGCGCATTTTCGTTGACTTCTCCACTTCACCGTGCTGTGTATTCGTTTTTGTTTTTGTTTTTTTTTTCAATTCCAAATAATGGAAATGTTTTATTAATTATTGCGATGGAAATAGCGGGTGCAAAGTTCAATTGGGCTTGCAATTGTTTGATTTTGCATATAAAGCGGAGAGTGAATGAAAGAAAATGTCGAGGCGTCATCGCGTATTGCCGTTCAATTTGACCGTTTCTTGTTCAAATTAATTCTTGCTGCAATGTTTATTGTTTAAATTGGTAGCTCAATTGGGTGTTTACTAGTCGAAATTACGACAAAACTCGCAATGGTGATTTTTGGGAACAAAACGATTTTTTTTAGGGAAAAAAGTGCACCTCTGCATCGCAAAGTACAAAATTAACTCTTTACTCTGTATAAGTCGGTCGCATGGAACTTTTACCAAAAAGATGGAGTTAAATATAGAAGACGAAAATACCACACCAAAAGTGAATGTATGAAACCTTTTGCCAAAGGTGATAAACGAAATAATGCGCAATCAGTTCTTTTCCTTGAAGCGTACGAAGACGGGCTTAATTTTGAACAACGAAAAACACCAAACACCATACACATGTTGCTCTCACATTCGCTACGTTGAAAAAAGCGTCGAAAAGCTGTTTTTGCCTATGATGCTAGCTGCTCGAGAGACGGTATCGGACGGTATCATTCAATGTTATCAAATCATTTTTTATTCATTTATTGGAATCGTTCAAGGTTCGATCACACTCGCGCAGCTCACTCAAAGCCGTCATCATTGAATTTTTAAAAAAATATGATCGTGTTTTGTTCATTTTTCTTTCTTTCGAATTTGATTGGTCGGTGCTTGTTTTGTCTATGTGCGGAATCATTTTTTGTCGTATAAAGACACTGAACTACGTTTTTGTCGTCATCTTTTTTTTTGTTCGTTTTCTACGCGCGTCTTTTTCCGTATTTTTTCCTCGTTTCATTGGGAATTCTCGGCTATTTTTAGCCTCATCTCAAAATATGCAAATGATATTTGCCATGTGGAAAGTTATGTAAAATTTGAGCACCATTCCAGCGGTGTTTCGAACAAAAATGTGCACATGAACATGTGGGAACATGCAACTCACACTCACGTCCATTTCATTTACATTTTGTCTTCATCAGAATGATTATGTACATTTTTCAGTGTTTCGAATTGAAAATGCAACAAGCAATTGGTTATTATTCATTAGACGATTGAAATTAATTGCTTAATCACTGAAACTCACAGTGTTCGTCGCATACAGCAATGGTTTGACGGTTTGGATTTTCCTTTGTATACACTATTATTACGTTGCACGCTCTCTCTCGGTCTCCCTCTCCCTCTATCTATCTCTTTCTCTTCCTCTCACTCGCTCTATATCCCTCTGTGCAATGTGAGATATAGAATAAGCTTTCGGTTTTGCAGTGGCCGTGTCAAATGTGTGTCGTATGTGTGCTAGACTGTCCCAAAATAAATCGAGGTCGTGATTTTGGTGATGCTCCGGCGTTTTATGAAAAAGGGTCACGAAAAAATAAGATTGAGGTTATCAGGAACCTATTCTGAGTTTCACTACTACTCCCGCATTTCAGTTTTCTGAACACCTTGCTTCCTCAAAAATTCACAAAATGACCCGTGGAGCGAAAGGGACAGCCAAACTCCGATCCTGATGTATGGAAGCATATGTTCGCACACCCCCAACAAAGAAGTTGGCAGTGTCCGATTTCATGTATCTGCTCTATTTTTCAAAATAGACTGAATATTTTTTTCTGAAAATCAGTCTATTTCAAAAATTGGGATTGACCTCGGATTTTGCAATTACCACTATTCCCAGATCTGTTTGACACAAAACGACGAGAAATGCAAAATAAATAACATTCCCGGCGAGAAATATTGGAAAAAACACACTGTCCCTTACGAAATTACTGGAAAAAGGGAGAAATATTGAATGTGTCCATTTTTCACATTTTTCATACAAAATCAACTGAATGTCACTAATTGAACTGTTCTGACAATCAGGCGGGGTGGGGTGATGCGTAAAATTGTTTTTTTGTGTCAAAAGCTAGGTGGAAACATGCTGTCAGATTGTCAGAATGGTTCAATTAATGACATTCAGTTGAATTTGTATGAAAAATGTGAAAAATGGACAAATTCAATATTTCTCCCTTTGTCCACTAATTTTGTACGGGAAAGTGTGTTTTTTCTAATGTGAAATTTTTGAGGAAGCAAGGTGTTCAGAAAACTGAAATGCGGGAGTAGTAGTGAAACTCAGAATAGGTTCCTGATAACCTCAATCTTATTTTTTCGTGACCCTTTTTCATAAAACGCCGGAGCATCACCAAAATCACGACCACGATTTATTTTGGGACAGTCTAATGTGTGCATGTGGCTGGCTGGCTAATAAATGATCCGCTTCAAATTCCAAAGCATGTACGCTTGGTCGAGGCCAAATTCATCATTCATATCGTGATTGTCGCATTTTATCAACAGCCAACAAAGAATTAACCAATTTGACCGAGAGATAGAGAAAGGGAGAGAGAGTGTGTGTGTGTGTGTAAGACGTAAGGTTTTTAATGAACACCCATGAACATTGGCTATTGGTCTTGAAAAAAAAAGCTTTATGCTAGCAAAGTCCAAGGTCACAGCCATTCATCCATGTTCCAAACACTTTAAAACCACCTTTTTGTCTTCTTCTTGATTTCACACCAATAACGCTGCATATTTTGCGAATAACGATAAAAAAAATGGTAACGACAACAACAGAGACATGGCTATGATAACCACAGAAAAAAGCGGCTATGATAACGCTTTGCATAAAATGCAACCAATTATTACCGATTGACACACATTTACCGGTTTTTCCTGGTTGAATCGCACTCGATCAAACGAAAAACTACGGTAAATTCCAACCAAAAATCAGCCAAAACGGTGTCGTGGAAAAAATTGACCGAATTTGGGCCAAACGAAGAAAAAACGAAAAACAATCGACAGAAAGTAGAAAAAAAATCGTCAACAAGCAAGCAGCAGCAGCAGCAGCAAAAAAAAAACGCGATAAAACGACAGAAAAAAAAGAACGGGGAAAAATGTATAAAAACAATAATAATTGTGTCGAGTGAATGTTGACATTTGAAAGCAAGTGTCACTGAAAACAATGCCACAATCGCGCACGCCACCAATTAATTAGGACGAATTGAATAATCGCCCATCGAAATGATATTTATTATTTATTTCTAGCTCAATTAGATTTGATCGATATTGGCCTCATTATTCCAAACCAAGCAGCGTCAACCTTTTGTGTGTTTATCCCACTAATTTTTTGCCCATTTATCGAAGCATTAATTCCGAATATTAATTGCACTATTTATTATCGCTAATAATTATATGGGTTTTTTTTTGTTTCGTTTTCCACAGAGCACTTTATCGGTATATCAAATTATTAACGCTGGTTCGGCGATGTCAGAGAAAAAATGTCGCCATTTGGGATTTATTCCATCACTATGTGGCCAAACATCCGCAAAAGCCATGCATTATTTATGATGGACAGGAATGGACATTCCGTGAAATGAACGAATTTTCCAATCGCATTGCAAATCTATTCCAACAGCATGGATATAAGAAAGGCGATGTGGTTGGCCTGTTTATGGACAATCGACCGGAATTTGTGGCCACATGGTTGGGCCTCTCAAAAATTGGCGTAATCGTTCCATTGATCAATACAAATCAACGCCAAGCATCCCTTATTCATAGCATCGAAATTGCCAAGTGTCAAGCGCTCATCTATGGCGAATCGTTGGCTTCTGGTGAGTGCAATCTTTGGTTGTTGTTTTTTTTCTTCTCATTCATGAACAATTCGTTCATTCGTTTTGACGCTTTAAAAGAATTCGAAAACCATTTTTTCATCTCAAATTTTACCATCAAATCATTGCAGCTGTTGCCGAAGTGTCCGAACGATTGAGCAAAGGATCATTTGCCTGGTATCAATACAATGACAAAAGTCACGAAATCAGCGACAAATCGATTAAAAATTTGAATAGTTTGTTGGAAAAAACGCCCAAAACTGATGTCGTATCCAGTTCAACGGCTGATACACACCACAATCAATTGCTGTACATCTACACATCTGGAACCACTGGTCTTCCAAAAGCTGCCGTCATCACACATTCCCGTTACATTTTCATTGCGGCCGGTATTCATTACATGGCCGATTTTCAACCTGATGATATCTTCTACACACCATTGCCTTTGTATCATACGGCCGGTGGCGTTATGAGCATCGGACAAGCACTACTTTTCGGCTCAACCGTTGTTATTCGCAAGAAATTTTCCGCTTCTGGTTACTTTCCCGACTGTCAAAAGTATAAATGCACGGTATGTACACCGCTGGCTGTGAAGAATATCGTGGGTGTTTTCGGTGGAAAATGGCATTTTCTGAACCAAGCATATTCTTTATTCAACGTTAATCCATTTCAAGACATTGATCTATTTCTATCGTGTGTTCGAAATATCTAACCAATTTCGTACAGAAAATCGAACGCCCGGTAGAATTTTGGTTCAAAGTTTCTACTTGAAATCAGCATTAACCGATCAAATAATATTATTCAATTCATTGATTAGGTTGCCCAATACATTGGAGAGATGTGCCGTTACATTTTAGCAACACCACCGAATGCAGCCGACAACAGCCACAACGTGCGTACCATCTTTGGCAACGGACTTCGACCACAAATCTGGCCACAATTTATCAATCGATTCAAAATCCCAAAAGTCGCTGAATTCTATGGAGCCACCGAAGGAAATGCCAATATTGGTGAGGACTTGATTTCATTTTTTTAAATGGAAAAAATATGTGGTTGAACCAATGAATGACCCATACTGATTAACCAATAATAATTGTTTCACATTCGCAGTGAATATAAATAACGTTGTTGGAGCCATTGGATTTGTATCACGAATTCTGCCATCAGTCTACCCAATTTCAGTGATCAAAGCCGATCCAGATACCGGTGAGCCAATTCGTGACAGCAATGGCTTGTGTCAGGTGAATATCGTTTTTTTTTTTTAAATTTCTTGTTGAAATAAGTCCATAACTTCCAAATTGGAGATCCCAATAAATTTCGTCTTAAATTAATTGACTGAATCCCATTTTTCCAATTGCAGTTGTGTAAACCGAATGAGCCGGGAGTGTTTGTTGGAAAGATAATGCCTGGAAATCCATCGCGTGCCTTTTTAGGATATGTTGACAAGGCTGCCTCATCAAAGAAAATCGTTAAGGATGTATTCAAAAAGGGTGATTCGGCATTTTTGTCCGGTGATCTGTTGGTATCGGATGAATATGGCAATTTGTACTTCAAAGATCGTACCGGTGACACATTCCGATGGAAGGGTGAAAATGTGTCAACGAGCGAAGTCGAAGCACAAGTTAGTAATGTGGCCGGTTATCGTGACACCGTTGTTTATGGCGTTGAAATTCCACATAATGAAGGTCGTGCCGGTATGGCGGCCATCCTAGATGGTGATCAATCCATTGATTTGGATGCATTGAGCACTGGGCTAAAATCCGTTTTACCTACATACGCACGCCCACAAATCATTCGTTTACTCAACAAAGTCGATATGACCGGCACATTTAAATTGAAAAAATTAGATTTACAAAAAGAGGGATTCGATCCAAGGAAAATCGGTGATAGTCTGTATTATTTGTCGTCGAACGGTAAATATTGTAGATTGGATAAGGCTGTTTATGAACAAATTTTAAATGGCGAAGTGAGATTTTAGACGTACAATTTATTTGTGTGAATGTGAACAATCGCATTTGCATTCCGAATCCCACACCGATTCGGAATCCGAGTTTTGGATCAACCGAATCAATGACTAATCTAATATTTAGTAAAGCTATTTTCTATGCAGCCACCGGTTGCTTTTAATTCCAACACAGTTGGTCCCGATGTTCACATCTAGATTTTTAAGACAGAATTCTTCTTTAAATCATTAATAGCAATATTTAAGTTAATTAGAGAGAAAAAACAACAATCAATTCAAACTTTACATAATCATCGAACAAATTTTTTTTTAGGATATTCTTCACATTTAAGAGAAATGAATGCTAGTTGACTATATATATTTTTTCCCCCTTTTGCTTCTATTGTATGGAACTGTGTGTTGAATTTCGTTTTATCCACTTTTTTTTTTGTACAGAATAAAATATTTTTTAATAATGACCGAAAAATAGCCGCAATGAGTTTTATTTGAACGTTTTTGTTTTCTTAAATTCAGCAAAGTCTGGTGAATGATGGAATTCATTGGGAGGCAGCAGAAGAAAGAATAATTGAAATTAATTTGTTGATTTTGGAAAAAAAAAGTTTTCTGAAAATTCAGCTCTAAAATTTCACTCAAGACGTTTTGTTCACATTATAGTTGTTCCCGGTGGACTCAGTTTAGATTTTCTCGCTATTTTTTTTTCAATTCGAATAATTTATTCACATCAACTATAGTTAATAACTATTAACACTATCGTGTGTATCTAATCCATTTGCTTTGAAGCAATTTGAAAAGTGTAAAAAAAGAATTATTTCAAAGCAGAGAATGATCAAATTGGGGTGTCCACCATGATTTCTACAGAAATTGGTGGTTCAAAAGTACATCTCAGTTTGGTGATGCAAAAAGACGATTTCAAAATTGGTCAATTTTTCCAAAAATTATTTAAAAAAATACCATTTTTTCCTCCAGAAACACCTTGTCTTATACCTTGTTTTACGCTTTAATTGTGTTAAAAGACCTACCTAAATTGGTTCGAACCCTGTTGCTTACATCGAATTCAGAATTTTTCCAACGATTATGGACTATTTAAAAAAACAGCACCGTCCATCGTCACCTCCATCATAATAATATCCGTCACCACATAATTCCAAAGTACTAATAAAATGCGTCCAAAAAAAAATGTGTGATGACCAGGAAAATGTATTTATTGAAAAATAGAACATTTCGTTTATGTTTGTTTGTCTTTTTTTCTTTCTTCAAATAATTTTGATTTCTCATTCTGAAATTGAGTAATGAGTAAAATTTTGTCATTTTTTTTTTTTGTTCAACATTCTGTTGCCTTTATATTTGCAGTCATAAATATATCGATTTGCCCTTGTTTAATTAGGCAGAATTCTACAGTGAATGTCATGGCCAAAAGCGTGTATTTTTTTCTGACATTTGGGCAATGCGTTTTGAGAGTGTGGCGCATAGTGCGACTTAATCACTGCATTGGCTTGAATGTCAATTGAAATACTTTGATGCGCACGACATGCGGAAAAGTAATCTCATGTGAGACAATTAGCACTGTGACACACTCTGTGAGTGCAAATGGGGACACATTTTAACAATGATCCATGCATGTATTCAAAAAGCAACAAAGTCAGCATTCACAAGGCAAATCGTTTTTACTTTACAGCTGTGGCATTCATTGTAGAATTCTGTCTGTCGGCTGTCGCTCTCTCTACACCAATGAAACGAGAAAAAAAACGAAAAAACAGAAACAGTGACAAAGAATGACTTCTTTATTTATCATATAATACTAAAATATTTGACTTAGTTATCTTTTTTGCATTTTATTTTGTTTTTTTTTTCTTGTTGTTGTTGTTTTGTATTAGGTTTTTGGACGTGAGTGCGCACGTAAAATTTTCTTTTTTTTTATTTAATTGAAAACGAACGAAAATCGCTACTATAAAAAACGAAAATAAAACAATGAACCATATCAATCAATGAATCAACGAAAAAAATCGTCAACAAAAGAAACATTTCAATCAATATCATTGAAATTGATTAAATGTTTGTCCGTCGGCTGATCAATTCAAATAGAAATTAAACACTCTCCGTCTCTTCGCTTCGAAATTTGTTTTGCTTGTTTTTATCTTAGCTTCGTTTCTCTTTCTTTTGTTAATTATTCTGTTGTGTTTTCTTGTCTCTTCTTGTTTTTTTTTGTCAGCGCATAAATTAAATTTAACATTCGAAATACTAATATTATGAGTTACATTTACAATAATAATTATTTAGTTACACATTGTGTGCCCCGTTGCACTGGCAAAGTACGGAAAAATTAAATTGACGCATTTTTTGTTTGTTTGTTTGTTCTGTTTCAACATTTTGACATAATATTTTCATCATTTTTTCTTCTTCTTCTTTTTGTATGTCAATTTAAATTTCAAATGAACACGCGTTTCTTCGTTTTTTTATATAAATGATTTTTTTTAAATGATTTTGTTTTTGCCGATTTTTTTTTCTCGTTGAAAAAATACTTTTTTTCGGGTTAGAAATATTGTCTCGCTAATTAAAGAGCAATATTCTTTCATAACGTTCGAAGAAAATCAGAGTCAAATCGTCGAATTGCGTAGATTTTAAATTTTAAAACAAGATGAAATGAACTAAAAAAGTTGTTAAATGGAATGTTATTCAATGTGTTGAACCGCTTTGTATTGGAACGGCTTTGAATTAAAGACCGTTTGTTTGTTTTATAAAATGAATTGGCTATTCACGAATTTTGCGTAGTTGAAACTAAAAGTGTTGATTATATTGTTTATTTATCGCCACTGTGTGCAAAGGTTTATCACTTTTGGAAATGATTCGAAATCCAATCAAAATTTCTCGCTCGCTCTTTTCCTTTTTGCTCCCCTTCTCGGGTAATTTCGCTCCCCCTTCTTGTTTTTTCAACTCTGTCTCTTTTTCCTTTCCGCATTCTCTGCCTCTTTCTCTCTCATTTTCTCCCCCCCTTTGTCTGGCTTTCTCTTTATTCCCTGCCTTCTCCCTCTCTTTCTTAGGCTTTCTTCCTTTTTCCGGCTTTCTCTCTCTCCCTCTCTCCGTATCTCTGTTTCTCTCAGACACTCTCGGCTCGAGCAGGCAAGTTCAGACAGCCACTTCAAGGAAGTGACTACATCGGTCATCAAAATTTTACACCAAAATAAAGAATACATCACCAAATGGGATACGAATGCCGTCAATCCGATCAATTGAAATCTCTGTCGGCTCTCTTTTCATAAGTTCGCCTAAGCTTGAAAATGCAAAAACGCAAAAACACATACCTTTTGTTTTGAAATACTTCGCCTTTGTTCGATCGTCGTCAAACCGCCGCTCGTTTTTTTTTGGAAAGATAATGAATTTCATATGTTCCAGAACGTACAGTTCTAGACAACAACAGTTCTAGTTGCCCAGAGATCTCTGGTTTTGTTTGGTTTCTCAGTTTTGCCTGGAATTTGTTCAAGTTCTGGGTCAAGCTGTGGGCCACTGGCTGTGGCATGCTTGTTTCATGCAATAAATGGTGTCGGAAAATTCAGTTGTCAGGTGCGACGCGTTTCACGTAAAACGCAAGATAACTTGGTAAAAGGTCAGTATCAATCTGGGTAAATAATCTTGAGTGTGAGAAATCTTGGGCTAAAATATTGCAAATGGACAATGTATCCAAAGAAACCATATAGCACTGTCTCACAGCAGTGTGTGGGGCTGATAATCGGAGAGTTCGGAAAAATCGATTGTGTGTGAGTGTTGGTTTGAATGAGAAGTGATTATGACAATTTCGGCTAATTTTTTTTTTACTTTTTTTCATTTATTTTTGTTTTGTAATTTTTTTTTTGTAGTTGTTTCGAAGAAGAAAGAAAATCTAACACGTTTTCCTTAACGTCTATATATAGAGGTTTTTGTTTTTTGTTTTTAGTTTTTGTCATCGAGGCTAAGAAAATCGCAGAGACGTTCTTAATTGTGTGTAGTTGATTTTTTTGTTAATTTTTTTTTGCTTTTATTTTGTTCATTTGTTGTTTGTTGTTTAATTTAAATTTTGAATGAGATTTACATTGAATTGAATTAATAGAAAAACGAAATTCTTTATTTAAAACATTGTTTGTTTGTTTTTTTTTTAATCGAATGAATGGATCGATTTTGTCGAATTTTCCGATACGTCTTACATATCGTTTACATATTTATTTTATTTTGTTCCTATGTACGCTTATTTAACCACAAAATAATAATAATAATAATAATAATGACAAAAAAGAGAGAAAAAAAAAACGAAAAACGAAAATCTGATCTTGATTTCTTCTTTTTTTTTCTTTTATTTATTTGAATTTATTTTTTTTTTTCGTTTCTTTAGGAAAATTTATATATCACTGTGTGTAAAATAAAAAGAAAATTGATTAAAAAAAACGAAGAAGAAGAAAAAAATTATAAAAAAAAAATTAAAAACAGAAGAAAAAGACGAAATCATCGTTTCTTATGAATGCTTCTTCTCTGTTGTTTGAAAAGTTTTGTTGTTTGTTTTGTTGTTTGTTTTGTTGTTTGTTTTATAGCCAGCCGCTTTGCAGAGCTGCAAAATTGGAATCATTGTTTTACACTAGGTGTAATTCATCTCATTCATTTTTAATTATTTTTTTTTATGCATTTATTTTCACTTTATGTGTTTGTGTGTGTGTGTGTTGGTTGATTTAAAATCAATTTATTCACAAAATTGGTATGTCACTTTGTGTGTGTATGTGAGTGTGTATTATTTTGTTTATTTCTTTTTCTTCTCTTCTCTTCTCTTCTCCTTCTTCACATTTCTCTATCTTCTCTTTCACTATCTCGTCATTTCCCATTTCACATTTGTCCATTTTGTTTTTTTTTTTTAATTCTTCTTCTAAAAAATATAATAAAGACCAGCATAAAGCAAAAAACAGTTATCACAAAAATGAAAACACATAAGATCTAAAAGTAACCACAGTAACTCTCTTAATTTTTTTTTTTTTGATTTTTTCTTTTATATCTTTTTCTTGTTTTGTAATTTTTTACTCTTCATTTTGTTTTTAATTATAGTTGTTGTTGTATTTTGAAACCTGAACTAATGTTCTCAGGCTGTTTGTAATTTGATGTTCACGTTTGCGTAGTGTGTGTGTGTGTGTGGATGTTATGAATTTGCATCGTTTTGTTTTGAAAAACACATGAGATTGCACTCTATGTGTGTGCCGTTTCGATGGCGCACGAAGAGGCGCGCGTGGGTTGCGCTTACGTGCGACGCAAGTAGCGGCCAGAAGGGGGAGCGCGAAGGGAGTAAGGGAGGGTGGGAGTCAGTAAATGATTGAATTTTGGTGCAGCTAATCACAATCTACAGCTGTCAACGTTTTTTTTTTTTGTTTGGAATATATTCGGTAAATAGTTCAATATGTTACTATGTTAGAACGATCATTGCAGGTTTTGTTTTGCCGTCTAAATGTCAACAACACGTTTTCTTTAAATCAATAAATCAATTATTGTTTTCTTGATGAAATTGTAGTTTTGCATGAAAATATCTAATTCGGATCTGGCACTATTTTTTTAAAGTATTTTCTTCATTTTTTTTTTACTTTGCCTAGACTGTTACTTCTTTTTTTGTTCAAAGATTTATTTTTACTTGGTTTTTTTCTGTTATTTTTTAATTGATTTCAAGTTTCTCGGTTGCAAGAAGCTTTTCTACTCTTAAATGTTCTGTTGTTATTATTATTATTAAATTTCTGTTGTTGTTGTTGGTGTGTGAGTGTGTGTGAGTGTTAGATTCTCATTAAACATTTTTTTTTTGTATTTATTATTTAGATTTTTTTTTCTGAGGATTTTTTTTTTATGTTATGTTTTTTATTTTATTTTTCGTCAAGCTAGTTTGTTCAAACACATCTCTTGTCAAATATAATTCTTCATATATCTATATAGTTTCATATAATATATTTTAAATTTCAATCAAAAATTATAAAGCAAACATTATGTTCTCTTTGTTGGTTTTTGTTTGTTTGTTTGTTGTTTATGAAGAGGTGTGTGTTGTGTGGGCATTTTTTTTTATTTCGTTTTATTCTTAATTTCCTCTATATATTTTGAATGCTTAACGGGGAAAAAAAATTATCTCAGTATGGCTTTAATTGAGAATTTGGAAAGGAAGGCTGATTTTGTGGGGAAGATAGGACTTGAGTGAAATATTGGATCGGTTTGCTCTTTGAATTGCATCTATTTGTAGCTGAATGGATTGCTTTGGGAGGTTGAATTTGATTGAGTCGGAATTGAATTGGGTAGCTTTGGATCGATTTTGCATCGATTTTGGATCAATTTGGGTTATTTTATGGATTGGATCATCTGTAAAAACCGTGTTATCTCTTTGTAACTTGTCATTCAACGCAAATCGCTTTCATGCAATGCAAATCACTCTCCTTGCACTCAGAAAACTTTGCACACATTCAAACAATATCCACGTATATTTCATCTTCTTCACCTTTTTTTCTTCAATCAACACTTTGCATTTGACTCTTCGGCATTTCTTTAACGTTCTCCTTTCACAACACTTGCCTATCCCAACACTCTTATATTCTTTCTCTCTCATTCTCTCGCTCTCTTCTTCTCTATCAAATCACTCACTCTCTTTCGTTCTATACATAAATATATATTTATTTTCTTGCTTAATGATTTGGAACACTAGTCCAGTTCACAAAATTTTGTTAATGTGTGTGTGTGTGTGTATTTGTTGGAATCTAAGATTATTCACAGGCCTCGAATTGCGATCAATCAACAAATGCGATTTTTTTTGTTTTTTTTATGTATGTGTGTGTGTGTGTTTTGAACGGAAACTTTGCATCATTTCTAATAATCGCAGTCTTACATTCAACTAACGAAAATAAATCTGTTTTAAAATATCTTCTTTGATTTTTGTTTTTTATTTGTATTTTTTGGACAAAAAATGTGCCGACAACAATTCTATGGGCCCATTTGAATCTCGATTTTGTTGGAATGGAGGCTCAACATGTGTTTTTTTTTTATGTAAATATATGCATTTTTCATATTTAATCAACAGTGAATATATTTTTCTCTCTTTCAATTTATTTTTTTTGTTTGTTATTCTTTGTTAAATCACACGACACAAAATTTCTCTGTGCGAACTTTGAATTCACGTGCACAAATTGCGCGGTGGCTGCGTTTTGCTTTAACACAATCACCAACACACCGCCACCATTCATGAGAGCACACGTGAATACAAAAACGCCTCCTCCGTCCACTTAAAAACGAAAACAAACGAAATTTTTGTGTCTTCTTTTCTTTTCACAATTTCTAACATTCTTGTATCACTTCTTGCTTGCTTGCTTCTATTTTTTCTGTGTTTTGTATGTGGTGTTTGTTGTGTTGCACAACTAGAAAAAACGAAAATAAAATAGAAACAAAAAATTATAATAACTCCCTATAACCATCAACTTTGTAGCACATAGCACACTCGGTGGCTGCTTTGCACCTCGCTCTCGTTTGCGTTTCGTTTCCATTTTCAATGTAATTTGCAATAAATATATCCTAAATTGACGTGTGTGCTAAATCTTGTGTTTTATTCGCTCTATTCTCTCGGTTCTATTCCTTTAATATGCATTTGTCGCAAAATGTGTCACGTATGTGAAAAGAACCAATTAGGGGGTGACACATCTTCTGTTCCATTTCTTTTCTCTTCTTTTCTTTTTGTTTTTGTTTCATTCCCGCCTTTCATCAACGTAATATCTCTTTCGTGTTCAATTTTGCTGTGGATTCTTTCTTTTCGTTTGTTTGAATGCCTATTTCACATATGCTTTGATCTTGAAATTAGTTTAAGTGGTTTTTTTTTCAGTTTGTTGTTGCTGTTTGTAGTTGGAAATCACCATTCTGTTGCTCGTTCGCTCTCATCATCATCAATCCACTAGCTTTGCCTATTCATTCACTGACACACACTTGTCAGAGTGGCTCTAGCTGTTTCATTAATTTCGTTTGTTTTTAGTGAATTTTTTCTGTACGTGTTCGTCTTTATTGAAATGAGTCGATTTTTAACTTGAATATTCTTCCGTTTTTGGATGATGAGTTGATTGAGTGCCAATGCATTTTTATTTATTTTTTGTTTGCCAGCGTTTTGTGTTTTTGTGTATTCTGCTTCCATCTCAATAAATCTGTGTTTGTGTTTGTGTGTTAATTGTTTTTTTTTTGTCATTTTCTGTTCTATCTTGCTACATAAATTCTATCTTCTTTGAATACATAGATTTTTTTTTATATAATAATATATATATTTTTTTCTCTTCATTACTAATTAATTTAAAACAATTTGTTACATGAATCGGTTACTTTCCGGTTTTTTTTATCCAACTTCATTTTTTTTTACTTCTTGGCTTTCCTCTCCCGCTCTCTATCTCTCTTTCTCTCTCTCTCTTTCTCTCTCTTCAGTATACCGTACTAAATCTAATCCCACTTTTTTCTCTTCATTTGTTTTTTTCAATTGTTAGATATTTCTCGGTTGCTGGTTGAGTTTATTTTTGCTTGAAATTTGCAGTATTTTTCTGTTTGTTTGTTATCATTATAGATTTTTTTTTCTTGCTGTTGTTGTTGATGTTGCTGTTGTAACTTTTGCTGTTGCTCGTAGATTTTGCTGCTTTTATTTTGTTTGAATCGGCCGTTGCTGTAGCTGCTTTACATAGTTTCTCGGTATTTTCTGTTGCTGTTGTTGTTTATTTGTTGTGTTGTTCAGGCAATGTTTTAATTACTGTTCGATGAGGTTGTTTGTAGTGTATTATCGGCAGTGATAGCAGCGATGTCAGACGACTTTTTCATCTTGTCGCAATAGTCGGATAGAATGTCTCGAAATCGGCTCCAACAATTTTCCGGCACCGTTATTGCAGTACGAAAATTGCTTTTTACCTAAACGTGAGCAGACAAATGAAAGATAACCATTAATTTTACTCCATTTTTGCGAAATTTAATAAACTTTACATTCAATTCAACAAAAAAACAAATGAAATTGGAAAAAAAGAGGTAAATGGATCTATGGTTGCTGGAAAATTGACTGAAAAATAGAATTTCAAATTGGGAATGAGACAAAGCAATGAGAAGAACTTTTCGAAAAAAAATCAAAAGAGGCGATCTAAATTTTTTTGAAGCGGGAATCGAAAGTTCTTTCCAGAAAATTCTGAAAATTATGTTGGTATTTCTTATTGTTTGAACCGAATAAACAATATCTTGTAAAAATACGCTCAGTTATCGAAATTCGTTCTCAGAAATTCGAAAAACGACTCATATTTTCTGAGTAGTCTGACTCGAACAAATAAAGCATCAGAGGGAGATAAAAACGGAAGCAAAAATAGAGAATTAAAATAGAGAAAACACATCAAGTGGACAACACTCACCTCGCTGATTCGCATGTATATGCCTCTATTGTTTTGTCCGATATCAAAGTAAAAGTTTTTGTTTTGTACCTTCATGTGTCGGCCTTCAGGAAGTTCACCTTTGAATCTAGAACAGCAAATCAAATGTCAATCAATGTTGCAATGGGCGAATTTAAAATTTCATTCAAATAAGGAACAAAAAAGCTCTGTGGATATTGGAAACAATGTCAAACTACAAAAATGGCACTTTTAAACGGTCAATGCGATTTTTTATACACTTTTAAACAGTTCATTCATGGAAAAATCAATTCCCATCGGAAGTGTAGAATAAAGCTTATGATAGCAGAAGTTTTCTTCTATCATAATAATCGGAATTTAGATTTTTCTTTTCAAAAAAGATTTGTGATAAAAGTGAGTGTTTATGCGATTTTTTCAAGTATGAAATGCGACCAAAGTGAATAATTCCCATTATTTTTTTCAATTTCAGAGATTTTTTCTTTGATAAAGATAATTTGCTGATTCAGTACTAATTTCAGTTGTTTTTTATTTGAGAATGTGAACAATTTCAACTCAAGATATGCAGTGTTGGCATTAATGTGTGAGCATTTCCTATACTGATTGATGATTTGTAGCATAAAAAACGGGTTATCATGATTTGTATGCATACAAAATCTTTGTGGAGACTAAGTCATTTAATTCCACTCGTTTCAACGTGTGGTTCAACTTACCCGCCATCATTGGTTCCGAATTCTTCTAATAAATCGGTTAACGCATCTCGAAACTCAATCATACCTTGAGCTGGAATAGCGATTTGTGATCGTGGCCCGCCACGTGTTATGGTTTGAGATACCTAAAAATAATCCACCACACATATTAAGCACTGTTTATTCAGAATTGTAAAATTGATATCTGATTTTCAAAAAAAAAAAAAAACAGGAAATAAATCAACTTAATAAGGCTGTTCAATTTGGCTAATTCAACTCATTCGTTGGCATATGTGAATTGAATCAATTCAAAATGACTTACTCGTAAGAATCGTCCCCGTGTATTTTCTTTCAGATCTAAATAATAACGGCGATTGTCCTTAATCATCATCTCTGATTTTAATTTACCATCTTCCGGGACGTTTTCTGGATTTGGAGGGCCTACAAAACAGAATGAATCAAATTAAAACTTGTAACATCAATAGCCGATGCTATGTGTCTAATCCAGAGTAAAACTATAAACAACATGACTGAAGGAAAGTCATAATTCTGCGCCAAAAAATTCAATTGAAGACTTCAATTTAAAGTTCATGAATGACTTGTGTGTCATATGTGTGCAAAGGTAATTGCGAATTTCTTCTGAAATTCGCGAAAAGATTTCGTAGGAGTAATAAACCTTGTCAGTAGGTCGACTTCGTTGAAATCATTTGGATTTGGTTAGAAATCACACCGACCGATTTCACGGTCAAAAGGCGGATTTCTGTAATCCAGCGCAAAAAATCACACCTTTTTCTACCTACTCCTTCACAGAAATTTGACTTCACGTAATTTTGAGTAACACATTGAGTTACATCAAACCATATCTTATTGTGGCATTCCTACCATCATTAATAACACTGTGTCTAGCAGTGCTGGACTCCAGCACTGCATATTTAATGCCATACAACACATATTATGGTAAAAAAAAACTTACCCAAAGACGAGTAATAATCACTGAATGTCGATAAATGATCACGAAATTCGGCAGCAGTTGATAATGCTAAAAATATTTGACTGCGTCGTCCATCGGCACCGATCTGGCAATACAAAAAAAAAACACGGCACATAGCACAACACGGGGTTTGGGACAAATAGATAATCAAGATTAGAGTGGAAAGGTCATTCAAAGTTGCTTGTGCGAACATTTACCTCTGCTACTTTGATAAATCGCCCACGACGGTTTTGCTTCACATCTAAATAAAAGCGTTTTGATTGGATTTGAAGCATCTTGGTAGCCAACTCCTGCTCGGACTGTTGACCATGTTGACCTGTACAAATGAATTAAAATAGAATGCATTCGTTTTTTTCTTCTTCAAATGATATTGAAATTGTGTAGTAAATTCCAGTCCTTGTGCAGAAACATGCTCGAGCAGACGTCTATTATGAGATAGTTTGCTTCGGATTTTTATGATTTTGAACCAGCTGCAATTGGATTGCGAATCGATTTCAAATTTGGAATTTTTGGCATTGGCTAGTTGAGCTAGCCAAGTTCAGTTAGATCGAATTAGTGTCCAATGATTGAAATTGCAATCATAGATCATTGCAGTATGTTCAAAATGTCGTAAATTAGTTGAATTTCAACCGCTAAATCACTCGCGAAGAGACTTTTGCTCTGTTTCATCTGAGAGAGACATGACCATGTCTCCACCATGAGATGAGACATGTGTCGAGCGTAAATCATGCCTAACACGGTGATTTAGCGGTTGAAATCGAGCCATCTCAGTTGAGTATTATTGATTAAGAAATTCACACAAGGAAGGCTTGGCACGTCAAGAGAAGGGAAAAAAAGTCACAAGAAATGGAAATAGAATAATTACCGTCATTACCGGATAAATCGAAATCAGTAGCACCACCCCCATCCATGCCTTTTGGATATTATCAAAATAGAAATAAAATTTATAGATCAAACTAAATAATTAAAATATTTTTTGTGTGTGTTCTCTTTTTGGTTGTGAAAAAAAAAAATGTAAATTGCTAAATGTTCTATTAAAAGATGTAAAGTACGCAGTAAAGAAAGAAAGAATTGAATTGAGAAAAACCTCTAGCTGGGTGCACAATGCGCATACAACAATAATAAAAACAGAAAGAAAAATATATAACCGATTCTTATTTCATATTCTCTCTCTCTCGGCGTTCCATATAAATATGACTATATTTTAAGCAGAAATTCTGCATGAAATTTCATTCAACCGGAAACTTTGTTTTTATGGTTCAATTTCAGAGTGAAGTACGATTATTATATAATCGATGCTGCTACTGCTTGTGCTGTTGCCGCACATGCTGTGTGTGGCTGCTTTGCCTGGTTGCCGAACGTCAAAGCACAAGGAAAAATCATCAAAGTTAAGTAGAGTGTGCGATTGTGCTGCCGATGATGTACAAAACATATGACTTGTTTTCATGGCAGCGCCCTTGCAACGCAAAATTCACACGAGAACAATTGCAATTTTCTCGCTCTGTCTCTCTTTCTCTCTCTCTCTAGTACTTTTTTGCTTCCTCTCGCTCGCCCAATCTCTAATTCTTCCTAGCCCTCTTCTTCTTTTTTTCTTTCCCTTCCTTTCTCTTTCTCCCTTTTTCGCTTCCTCTTTGGATCCAACTCCAACTCCAACTCTATCTCTAACTTTCTTCCACTCACTCTGACCCTCTATCTCCCTTCCTCTCTCTTCCTCTAGCCTCTTCAACAACATGAATGCCATCGACTTGCATACGAATAACCGAAACTAATCGCCACCCGAAAATTACAAACCAAAAAAATGAAACGACTTGTAGCGCTGTTCGAAAATCGCTACCCTTTCACTTCGGTCAGCAATAGCAGTTTCAGCAAGATTTCCACCATCAGTATCACAAAAAAACTTTTGGCCAATCAGCACTCATCGTCTTGATAACTAACACTGGACACTTGCTTATTTCAATGCAAATTCGTTTAATGGACGACTTTTCTTTTGTTGCTCAAAGGGTTTAGCAAACTAGTTTTGCATATTAACCGAAAATGTGCATATGACAATGCATTTTTTTCTCCCTCTTTCCGTTCTACCTTTCTTGTTTTTCCTCTTAATTTCCTGCATTCTACGATTTAATCGAGAATCGAAATTGTAACCACACACAAGTGGTGGTTGGAATTTTTCTTTCAACTGATTTTCTTGGGAAATTCGTCCGAACATATCCAGATGCACTGTTTTTTTTTTCTTCCACAGAATTTCAAGGAAGAACAACTACATTTCAAAAAGAAATGTAGCAAAAGGCGATAAAAAGAGAAGAAAAGTTTGAATGGATTTCTTGGAAACTAGAAGCTTCTTCTTTGTTTCATAAACATTTTCATATTTTTTATTTCTTCTACACCGACACAAACTGCGTCACATTGGAACGTGAAAAACTTGGTGTCTGCATTTCAGCGTTACGGAATATTTTAATCACTTGAAGCTCTTGATTTTAGTTGAGTTGTAATTAATGTTGGTTTTTAAGCTTTTTTTATCGATGAGAAACAATGGATTTTACTCTTTTGTTTTGTGGAAATTTTTCTGTTCGTTTCCAAACGAATCAGAATCAACACTGAATTTTGAGTCCTTGACACGCATTCATTTTTTTTTCTTTGATCAATTCCACAGTGATGAATGCAATGCAACGGGCAAAAGATTTTGTGTGTGTGTTTATGTTGTGCAATAATGAAAAAACTGGCCTATTTACTTCTATTCCATCCTTTCAAATGATTGCACAGAAAATGCCGTTTTTTGCCACCTTTTTGAGCAGCTTTTGACATTTTGTATTGACTTCTTATTAAATAAATCGAATTGTTCGAAACGATTAAGATCGGAATGCATAATTGAACACATAATTGGGTATTCAAGATTCAAATGAGATTATGCAAAATAAGGACAAAACTAAAAAAAATAGAACATTGAGATGGTGTGTTGATTCATTTCTACTTCAATTATGCAAACAATTTTTATTGACTAGCTCACATTTTAGATGAAAAATTCAACGCATGAGATTATGTGATGAACTCAATTTTGCCATTAAGAAAACATGGTAAAGTAAAAAAAAAAAGTTGATTTTTTTGGAAACGCAAAGCAGTATGTTAGAAATCGAAAAAAACGAGAAAGTAAATAGAAGTGAAGGTGTGAGTGAGCAAGTGAGCAAGCGAGCGAGAGATAGAGAGATAGAATCGTTGCAATTAATTCTATCATTTGCATGACCCATGGTTTACTCAATGAGTAACTCATTCGCTTAAAATTGCCTTTCCAAATAAAAATCGACATACATACACACTAGCTCTCATACATACTAGCACTACTCCGATCCTGTTAACCAACTCAAGGAGATACATTAGTCCATTTCATTTAAAATGTACATTTCAGATTTCATGGAAAATGCATTCGACGCTTTTGTTGCTGGCCATTTTCGAGTTTTTCGATTATATTTAACACATATTGTTGTACGCATTGTTGAATATAATTCCGAAAACATGTCAATAAAGTGCACACCGCTGGAGTTCCCATCGATCTATATACACATATATGTGTGACTACCGTTTTAAATGAGTTTCCATTTAATCTTGTGGTCACGTTTTTGGTTTAGACCTTGATTGGCTCTGCCCCTAGAAAACCCTAAAATGATTGTTTCGTGCTCTCTTGCTATCTTTTACTATCTTTCTTTTGTCTATTTCTCTTTCTCACTTTTATGCACTCTTTTGTAACCTTTCATACTCTTTCACACTCTCTAGCACCCTATCGTCATCTCAATAAATTTAGTTTGCGAAATCAAATTCGGAATTTACGTGATTTTCCATAAATTTTCTATATTTTTGGACATTTTAATAGAGAAAACTCTAGATAGACTTTTAGTTTGTTTCGTACAAAAGTCTAGTTTAAAGACGAAAGTATAAGCTCACAGATTGCTTATCAATTTTGGCCTCTTTTTTCAACGGGTTCTTGCAAAAAAGGATTCTAATCCTTTTTCGATTCGTGACACGTTTTCCAAATTTTCGAAATTTTCATCTTTCCCCATTTTGAGCTATTTTTTTCCAATTTTTAAAATCTTTTCTGAAAATTTCTAAAATTCAATCATAAATGGCAAATTATGTCTTTTTTCAGTTTTCGGCTGGGTTTTTGATCCCTTTTTGATATTTAAATTTCTGTAGAAGATGGAATATGATCCATTTTTTTCCATTTCCATGGTTTGCAAGTCATTATTCAATTTATCTAGTCAAAAACTTGTGTTTTCTATCAAAGTAGTTTTCCATAATTATGGAATTGGATTAAAATCCAAAGTTACGTTTCCTTTACACTTGTCAAACAATCAGATTTTCCATACATCAACAAAAACAAGTCAAAAACATCAAGAATTGTTGTCCGCATTAAAAAAATGCGCTTAAAATAGACTGAAAAACCAATGAAGCTTCAAACAAAAACGAGCTTAATTACTGTCCCGTTGGAAAATGGATTTTCGTCAAGTGACTTTTTGCGTTGATAAATTGTTATGTTTATTGAATCAACTGTCGGAGAGTTTGCATATGAATGCGCAAATATTGACACCAAATTTATAATTGAAAATAAACAATCAATCAAAAATTGCATGGATTAATTATTGCATTCGCAATCCTGTTTCAACGTGACGAAGAAAAAACAAATTGTTGAATTGTGTATGAGAAAAAAAAAGTGAACACAGCCGACGAAAGTTTCGGCTCAATCATTATAAATAGAAATACAAATGGTGAACCCATTTGGATTGTGGGCACTAGCTGAATTTGAATGCAGATAAAGACAACTTGGCACTCCGAAAAAATGCATCGCGAGTCGATTCGATAAATTATTGAAAAATGGAATAAGAACGACCTTCACGAGACATTCATTTCTCATGTGTTGCTGTTGCTGCTGCTGGTGACGTTGCCGCTGTGCATTATATCCTTCTCGTTCGTTCTCGCTCCAAATTCGTGGTTTGATCGTATGTGTTTGATTATTCACTGTAATGTGGCATACCATGGCATGGTAGCAGAGCACATAATATGGGTCATTTTGCTATGTTCGGTTATTGGTATGGGTATGGTTTGGTTTGGTTTGGTTCAATCTGTTTTTTTTTTTTCTTCTATTTTTTTTTATTTCGTATATATTGTGTTTGCTGTTGCTATTATCCTCCCGTTAGTTATGAGTGGCAAACGCGGGGAGACACACAGCAAGAGGGAGAGCGAGAAGCAACCTTTTCTACATGCATATATATATACATCGTCAAATGAATGAATGTGATACACAAAACGCTCTAAAAATATATACATTCACGAAATGTTGGATGAAAGAGAAGTGCATACACACAGCATGATTTTCCAGTTGCACATCGAATCCGTGTGGTACATAAGGTGCGTGCACCATATCAAGAGGGAAAAAAATGAAGCAAAAACAGAACCCATGTAATCATGGATCCATTGGTGGACTCGCTCTCTCACTCTTTGCGATCTCGTTCTCTGTCTCTGTCGCTCGTTCGTTGCACAATTGCAATGAGAGAGCAGCAAAACGAAGGTCCTCTGATGAGTCCGTGTGTGCGCGAGTGCGCCTGTATTGAGCTAAAAGAGAGCGCACGGTCGCGCGCTAACTCGCTCAATAAGGTCCATATGTACATTGCAGTTTGCATCAAGAGTGTCCTGTATTTGTGCTCGATGCACGAAAAATGTGCAACAACGAATTTTCGATGCGATGCGAAAGACGCGCGCTCCGTTTTCTTCGCTTCGTTGTGCCATTGCTAATGCTGCTGCTGCTTCGGATGTTTTTTTGTTTCTCCCTCTCGTTCTCTCTCTATCTCTCTTCTCCTCCCTTTCGATCGGTTAGATATATTCTGTGTGCCTGTGACCTATTTGATGATGGCGCTTTCGCTATTTATC